TACTTTATACATGTTAGGATGCATATCCATGACAATTTGTTTCAAAATCTGGTCAAGGATGGCCGATTGACAGCCATCTGACTTTTTGGCCTTACTACTATATTTCCACAATTTATGTACCATTTTCATTCGTATTTGGCACATACATCATACATATCAGTGTGTTTCATAATCAGATCAAAGATGGCTGAATAACGGCTGTTTTTATTTTGGCCATATTACTATGACACGAAACACATGTTTTGATGTAAATAAACAATCTGTTGTATACGCCACTTGGAACTCAAGTTTCAAGGACACGCTCGCGACAACCCCTCCGCTTTAATATGACGAGCACAAAGAGAACTTAACGGGGACTGTGTCATTTTCAATGACTTGTTGTTTGGAGAAAATGACACCAGATGAATTCATGTCATCTAATTGTGACCATTTCTTGTCAGTTAGTTGAATTGCTAAAGAAAAATTTAGCATTTTGTTTTAGCAAAAATTAGGTGGTCTTTAGATAGATTTCTGTTACAAATCCTCATACAATGGGCATTGTAATGAATCTGTTAACTCACATATTGTTTTGTTTTCAGAGAATTGTTACAGAAGCTGTCTAAAGTAACTATTGCAGATGTCAAACGAGTTGGTGAGAAATATTTTCCACCATTATTTGATCCAAGTATTTCAAGATGTGCTGTGTGTTGCAATCCTTCAAAAGTCGATGAAATCAGGGATAATTTTAAAAAGTAAGTTGAGAGTATAATTAATAATGGATTTCAGTGGACATATCAGGTTTAAAATTGCAGTTCCATATGCACAAGATAAAATCATAAAATGTATGAAATTTATGCTGTTTTAGCTATGATATATCCTATTCTTACTTTCCACTCATTGCATTTTGAGAGTACTGGACGGTCCTTACACATTGCAAACATACCTTCAAGGACAAATAAATCCTTCTATTAACTAAATGTCTATTGTCTTTAAAATGTAGCTTAATTTTAGAGACCTGTTTATATTCA